TCTGCCTCAGCCTTCCAGGACCATGAACAGGCAAGAGCCTTTTTGTTCACGGCTCCTCTGCACCGAGACATTCCCTCCATCTGTGCTGCATGTCCATGCCCTGCCATCTCCTAGAAAGCAGACATTTAATTGGCTTAGTGTTTCTAGTGATTGGCACATTAAAAGCGCTTGAAAAATGCTGACTTGGTAAACCATGAACAGGGTAATATTTTCTTTGCGCATACAAAGTAATCACTGAAGAGATTCATACACTTGGCTAATCGGTTTGCATATATCTAGACCTTGGCCATATTAAACTTTCTCAGTGCATGCATAAACTCTTAATTGTTGCACCTGAGAAACAAAATGGGTTAGATAGATATCCTAATAGTATCTGATGCTATCTTTCCATCTCTAAAATACTTGGGTAATGATAAAATTTGAATCTGCACCAGATATTACCACTTACTAATGCTCGTTTAGAATTTTTAATAAAACTCCGAAAACATAGTCTAATATCAATAACATTTAAAAGTCTAAAATATTTTTTAAACAAAATAGGTAGTATGATAAAAATTGTCTACACACTACTCTTTCTTAATTGTATAGTGTAGAAAGAGATACCATCTACGAAAGTCAGGCATCAATGGGATAAAAACTAATGTTTACTCTATGAGTTGATTTCAAAATTATACCATGTAAGTGACTAATACTCTCAGTTGGATACAGTTCAAGATGTACCCAATAATGGATTTCTTCCCAGACTGCTTATAAATTTAAGCATGAAAAAGCTGAATTTTATTTGGCAAGGATAATGTGCATTTAGCTTTCTACTAATAAAAGGCACCCATTTCCTAGTATTAGCAAATATGATTTACACTTAATTTCTAAACAGATTTTCAGGATTAAATTATAATTGAAAAGCCTTTGATAGTATCTATTGGAAGCCAAAATTTGAAAGTGAAAATAATGAAACCCTTGTTTAGAACAAGAGTGTATAATGACAAACTGCAAGTCTCCTTAGTTGAAGAATTGGTTTTGGTTTTTTTATATACAATGAGTAACTAGTACCAGCCTGTCAGTTAATATGAGAAATATTTGTATCCCATTTACTACTAAGCCAGTAGAAGAGGACAGATAGATGTTTGCAGAGCTGAGAAAATGTGGGATATTTATACTTCAGATGGTTACAATACTTCAGATGGTTACAATAGTTAAGTCCTTGTTTTTATCTCCATTCACTTATTCATCATGTATTTTTTGAGCACCTACTATATGTACTTTGCTAGTATTTGGAAATAAAAGTACTTTAGTGAGCAAAAACAAATGAGTTAGATTCTAGTGGGAAAGATAGATAATCAAGAGGAATAGTGATGAATCTAATCATAAACAGGGAAATAAACAGGGTTTTATAGAGTGTATTATAAAGTTACCTGAATTGGAGTCAGGGAAAGCTTATCAGAGAAAGTGATACTTAAGCTGAGTTATGAAGAATGAGGAGGATTTTGTTAGGTGAAAAAAAGTTGAGGAGGAAAAAGAGAGCAAGCATTCCAGGCATAACTTCATGGAAAAAGACAAATCCACTGGGGCTGGGATACAGAGAGGTAGAGAGTGATACAATATGAGCTCAGAGAGGATGGTATAAGGGAGGCTAAAAGAAGGCCCATTTGAAGGATTCTGGTCTTATTCCTAAAGAAATGAAGGACAATTAGTGGATTTGAACTGGACAGTAACACAATCAGATTTGCATGTGAAAAAGACCACTCTTTCATCTGGAGCAGAGAATGAAACAAAAGCAGTTAATAGAAGGGGGAGCTATGGCGGTGGCTTGGATAAAGGTTATGGCTTTGTATAAACTCAAGACACATTCAGGGTGCAAGTCAATATGTCTTGGTGATAGGTGGGTATGGGGGAAGGAGAGACGATGACATCAAAGATGACTTGCCCAACCAAATGGACGGTGATGCCATTTGCTGAAATAAGTGACACCTAAGGAGGCCCAGGTCTGGGGAAAGATAATGAGAGTCTTAGTTATGCTGAGGTGCCTTTGAGAAATGGAGATATCCAACTGGAGTTAGCTTGATGAAGATGGAGCTCAGAGAGAAATCCAATCTGAGAGGGCAAAAGAAAAAGAATAAAGACCAGGCAGTGAGTCTTTGGTGAATGTACAGAAGTACTTTGGAAAAGAATGACAGATAAAAAGAAAACAAAATAGCTGTAAACTGAGACGAGCATAACACAGTGAACATATTTTATAATGCTAATCCTAGGAAAATAACAAATGTTTTTATGAATATTAGAAATAGTAAAAACTGGGGCTTAGTGAACAAATGGTGTTGAGTCAAACAAAAGAGCAGAGTCAAAAGTCCTGGTTATTGGAACGAATCCCTGCCTTTTAGGAAGGGGTAGCTGAGATCTGGGAGGGGAAGTACCATGTGTGAAACAAAAGCTGTATAATCCTTTGAGGTGGGGTGGGATGAAGGAGGCCCGTGGAGTTATGAAGATTCCCCCTTATTAAGATAGCCACAGTAAGTTACTGCCAAAAGTTTCTACCAAAAGTAACCAGGTTACTCCATACCATCTCAGAACCAACAGATGAGCATGTGCAAGACCAGTAAGTTTCTCTGGAAAAGAACATTTAAGTAAAGTCATGCTGAAGCAAAAATCATATATTAATTTTAATGCAGTTACGAGTATTCAAATAGAGACAGCTTTTACTTTACACAAAAGCAAATTTATACTCACACTTTGATAAGGAATGCAAACCACAAATAAGTTATGATTTTACTAGAACAGCAAACATTTTTCTTTAAAGGAAAACAAAAATAGTCCTAGGCATAAATAGCTATCTCAAGTCTTCAGAATGTCTATTTTTTTCTGGTGTTCAATGTAAAATTTCTCTTAGTCTGAACTTCTGGCCTTCAGAATCAATGAATTCTACAGATTGTTTTATACAAAGTGAGGTGGGATTTAGTCCTCCTTTTATGTCATATGTTCCTTAGAATTTGAGAAAAAGACCAAGCCTTACACCCTTCTCTCATTTTTTTTGACGGCCAAGACAAATTATTCAATTCCTTCTTGGCTTTAGAAGTTTCACTTTTTCCTGTATTGCAAGAGTGAAATATTATTGAAAAAGAAGGCAGTGTCACATGAACTATGGCAGCAAAGTACATAGATTTATGTAATAAATTAATAGAACTCCAAAACAGTCATTTTAAATTTACTAGTTGTAAGGTGGATAGAAAGCCTTGTCTAGAACCCATGTCTAAGATTCCAGATCAGACAGGTTCCTGATCCTTGCTGGGTTTGGTACTTTTTATTTTCCCAAATATCCTTCAGGGCAAAACTACTCATTCTTAAACTGGTCCATTGAAAAAATAAACTCATAAACTATGTCAAAACCTTTGTCAATATTCTCTCCACAAGAAGTAAACAAAATGAAACTTGAAAAAATAAAATTGATATAATACACACACGTTTCCTTAGATTTTCCCCAATCTTAAGGATAATGCTGGGGATCAGTTTTAGGATATTTACTGAGTGAGTATCAAGGTGCCTGGGAATGAATAAATAAATTTATGTAAGATACTGACAAGGTATGTAGTCCAAATATTTGGGGTATGAGGTTTAGAAGATTAGTTGTAGACTTCAACACTGCCAGGATGTTTGACTTTTCCTACAGAAAACATTCAGGTGCCCATGTTCGGCATTCCAATTACTTCAGTGTCAAGACAAGGCCTAACAATGATTTAAGATATTGATATAATTTAATAGAAACCATCTTGAATTTATATGCTCTTTAAAATATCATATTTTAAAAGTGAAATATCAGGGTTTTACTTTTGATTAACAGCCACCAAGAAGAACATCTGCATGTATTTAACAAGGGTAGTAATACTGCATCAAAAATATTTCTTGAATACTGTGAACAAAGGAGCCACAAAAACTCAGCATGAAAAGTGGAGTTCTGCACAGCCAGAATCAGATCTAAATCCTCAGCAGCAAGCAGGAGACTCAGAAAATGCCGACTTTAATTACAAACTTTATTTGTCAATACAATTCACAGTTTATACATGGTGCATTCCACCATATGAACTTTCAGAACAGTTATTGAGGAAGTGGGTGTAGCTTTCCTTCTAAAAGAGCCTGACTTTCTAAAATTTTGGTTAGAATTTTTTAAGTTTATAAAAGTACCTTCAACAAGTTAACTGAATATTTACATTTCTAGCTTAAATTTAAACTTTGGAAAATAAGCATCTATTTTTTTTTTTTAAGATCCTGGGTTTATTTTTTAAGACCCTAATCTGAATGCCACTTATTCAGATACACCCCTGACCCCCAAGAATAAAAGTAATGTTTTGCAATTATATTTAGGGAAATCATTTTCTTTCTGCATTTTACAAATTATATTTACAATGTACAGCAGATCTGTGTATGAAAATAAAAGAAAGAGTAGCAATCTACTAGGTGCCTTTACTGAATTTCTTCTGAATCTTGAAAACATCCAAAGAGTTGCAAGATATAAAATTAAACTAAAGAGGATTAACAGCCTTTTCTGTCTTTAAAAAAAAACTCTCAAGATTTAAATTGTGCTATAACAGCTTTTTCTCTAATGTCAGAGATGAATTATGCCTGCAATCTGCATTTTTCCATGTGCAAAATCACAGTGATCCCAGTTTCAACTCTGCTCTCACAGCCACAACTCCAGAGGTACACCCACAGAAGGTTAGGACTGTGCCCACCTCTGCCTCCTACATTCCCTCCCCTCATCTGGCAAAAGTTACCCAAGGAAAGAAAATCATATGAGCTTTTCATACATCAAAAAGCAAATAGATGCTGGCAGTACAATGTTTATTAGCAAATGCTTGTAACACATTGTTTTACTATCTTCTTTTCATCCAAATGGCAATTCACACCAACTGTCTAAATTCGCCTTCAAGAATATCCATTTTCATAGTTTTGTCAGATCATTTATGGATATATATGGATATATATATATATGGCTTTCCTTCTTCCACCGTTAAAAGATGTATATATAGTTAGTCAAAAATGATAAATTTTAAATACTGCCAGGAAAACAGGGACTGATTGAGAGCAGTCAGTTTTACTGGCCTGGTAATAATTACACTGTATATATGTACCATTGGTACCTGAGTCAAATAAATACTCAGAGGGGCCGTCTTTGCACCTCATTTCTCTGCAGTGCCTTTAACGCTAGGGTTTCTGAGTGTTGCTTCAATGTCCATCTAATTTGGCATCTATTCCTTCTTCGGGCATCATCACTCCGGTCATTTTACACACTGTTTCCAGCAAGGTATGGTATTCAAACAGGAGTTGTGGGGTAAAGGACTGCAGAGTTGAGCCTAGGGGTGGGGCGGGGAAGGAGAAACCACACATTAGCTAGAGAGGTTCTGTTTCTTCGTAAGATAAGGCACTGACAGAAAATTTCTTAGGTAAAAGGCTGCATAAGAATTTCTTGCCATTTACAAAAAGAAATGTTGTCATCCATAAATGGTCCATAATCTAGGCTCAGTTAGGTAGACCCTGAAAAGTTAAGGACTGATCCCTCAAAGCTACATTATTACCGGAAACAATTATAATTCATTCTGAGGCCTTTTGGCACATTTGGAAAAGAGAGAGGAAAACAGTCTGGGCACAAAAAGGCATCAGACATTGCTTGTTTTATTCCACTGGTCAAAGAAAGTGGACCATTCAACAAGAATCATCGAAAAGATAGTGCTGGCTCAGAATTCAAATTCTCTTGATGGTAGATGACCATGATAGGTGTATCTATTTTTTTTTTTTTTTCCTTTTTGGAGCTCATGCACAATTTAAAAAACGCTACCAACAACAGTCAAAAAGAGCATATAGAAGTCCTCACCTATGGCTATGCCTAGGGCTCTTCAAAGAGAGGGCTATTTAATGTTCTCAATAACAGCAATTTCCTCGCCTGCACAGTGTGGCGTCAATCCGTTCAAATAGATACTTTCAGTTTTCAGTAAGGGAGGCAAGACATCCCTCTCGCTAGCGAGGTGGTTCACTGACAGGGTCCTCCTACAGGGAGTCAGCTCCTGGTTGTGGTTTCCAGCCAGTTCTGCGGAGAGCTTCCGCTTTATGGAGGTGGCACGCTGGAACTTGTCGTAAATCTCCACACTCAGCCGCCTCCTGGTTTCCTTGAATTCGGCCGTGACGTTGGCTGTCCACTCAGCAGCATGGGCTCTGAACTCTCCCACCTGGAACATGCACGCAGAGAAATGACAGAGACACCAACAGGACAGTCAATGTTTTGTGTGCTTTACCTTCTGATCACTGTATTTGGGGGTTTTGAATAGAACGTTGTAGACTTTTGTAATATGAGAGGTCTGACAATCGAGGTACTTAGGCAAGTTGTGAGGAAGAAGCTTCCATTTTATATAGATATGACTCTAAAAATGAATCTGTGAGCTTAAACTCTATTAACCAAGTTATATTAGAGGTACTAGATGCCCTTGTTTTGGGAAACAAATCCTGTCATTGAAACTTCTGATCAAAAGGCAATCTCTAACTTTTTAAAGCTCTGTTTCTTTTTTAATCTGTAATTTAAAGAAGTATTTGAATGTAGAGAAGGCAATAAGACATAGGAGAAGCAGCAAGACAGAGTAAAAGAGCCTGGAGTGTGAACCCAGGTGACCTGGTTGGTTCTCATAGCAGTGATGCTGTTTGCTCAGGATATAAACAGAGATTTTAGAGAGCAGAAATGGTGTGTGCAAGAACTTTGACTCCAACCCCACACTGGTCATTTAGGAATCCTCTATTTACTAAATAAGCAATAAAATACTTTGTTTCTGATTCCAGGGAAAGCAAATAAACAAGGCCTGGCAAGTTCATTTTGAGGCCCATTTGGAGAATGATTAAGTCCAAGGAATAGTTTCTCAATGAATGTTTGTGGAATTAGTGAAGTTAACCTGGCCGAGCTGCCATTTCCTCAGCTGTGGAACAGGCATCTTCACAGCACACACCTAGCAGGATGGCTGGGTAATACACTTCAACTGCAAGAGCCTATCACTGTATAGTTATCATTGTGGCCTTTGTTTGAGGTTGAAGAAAAAGACATTGCCAAGTGCTAAGCATGTGCATAATGTTTTCTTTTACCTCTTTAAAATTATATCTGCACTTTAGTGACCTAAAACAGAATAATGACCCATCCCATGGGAAACTTTATAATCTTTTTCTTAACCAACTAGAATTTAATAATCTAGGATATCTCTTAGAATAATCTCCTAACGTGGAACAACTCCCCCATTCCCTATTGCTAGCACTTCTGCTCTTGGATTAGGGAGCTCCACAGAACTCAAGTGAAATGGGCTCCTTTTTACCTGGCAAGCAAATAACTACTGCTTTGTTTTGTTTTATTTTACCTCTGTCGTTTTTTGTTTAAAATTTTGATGTGATCAGAAACTGATGGTTTCTGCTATAGTTTGAACGTTGGTGTCTCCTGAAAATTCATATGTTGAAATACTAACTGCAAAGGTGATTATATTAGGAGGTGGGGCCTTAGAGAGGTGCTTAAGTCATGAAGTGAAGCCTTCATGAATGAGATCAGCACTCTTACAAAAGAGGTTCCAGAGAGATCCCTCACCCCTTCCACCATGTGAGGACACAGTAAGAAGGCTCTGTCTACAAACCAGGAAGAGTCCTCACTCTGTCATGTTGGCACTGTGATGTTGAATCTCTAGAACTGTGAGAAATCAATGCTGTTTATAAGATCCCCAGTGTGTGGTATTTTGTTATAGCAGCTTGATCAGACAAAGTTGGGTTCTAAATATTTATACTGAAAATCTGATTTATAAGAGAGCATATGTATGTACGTCTACTTCAACATGATGTATACGTGCACTCGGATGGTCATAGATATGTTTGTGTGTATGTGTGTGTACGAAAACTGTTCAAATATCCTTAGAAGGTGGCACATGGCAGACCAACCCTTCCTCATCCATCCATAATCACATACATGCACACATTTGATGATCTACTTTTATTCTATAAAGGTCTTTTATTTCCCACTTGTATTGACCTAGCAAGAAATAATTGCTTGTTTTCTGGGTCTGGTTCTGAAAAAAGCAAACTAGAAAAATGGGAACTTTGTGGCATGCGTAACTGGCAAGATCAAGCATTCCTTAATCACTGAGGCAACTTAAAGGGAACTTGCAGGGAAAGAAGTGCTAAATTTATAGTGATTCAGCCTGAAGATTCTTACTGTTCCCATAAGGGACCGTGTATGACTGTACTTAGCTCTAAAAGCAATTATTGAATTTTTAATTCTGCTTTGGGGGGACTCTCTGGTTAGAAAAGTATAGGCAGTATCAGTCAGTGGTAAAAAATGCTGAATCACTCCAAATGCACTTATAAATAAACCCTCCAACTGTTGATATTCTTTTTCTATATACCTAGCTGTCTTTTTGATTAGACTAAGCATTCTTGAGCTCGGAGTCTATACTACATTCATTGGTGTATATAAAACATCTAGTGTCTGGAATAGAGAAGGCACTGAGTAGAAACTTGATGAATTGCATTGAATTAATAAGTAAATACTATCAAGAAAGTTTCAAAATAATATTTTAACATAACAGATTCAGTTGTTTCTCTACCAGTTTCAATTTAATTTTAAAGACGGAAAATTGCAGCCTGCTTAAAGATGGTGCAGAAACACAAAGAGAAAACCTGATTAATATGGTCTTGAACAATACAGTTAATCATTGTCCAACATGTTATTAAATTCTTTTAGTTTACAGTACAGATAATCCTGAGCAGTGTGAAATTTGCTATTTTATTTATTTATTTTTTGCGGTATGTGGGCCTCTCACTGTTGTGGCCTCTCCCGTTGCAGAGCACAGGCTCCGGATGCGCAGGCTCAGCGGCCATGGCTCGTGGGCCCAGCCACTCTGCGGCATGTGGGATCTTCCTGGACTGGGGCACGAACCCGTGTCCCCTGCATCGGCAGGCGGACTCTCAACCACTGCGCCACCAGGGAAGCCCTGAAATTTGCTATTTAAAATAAAACAGTAGGAGATCTTCAAGATGGCAGAGGAGTAAGATGTAGAGATCATCTTCCTCCCCACAATACATCAGAAATACATCTACATGTGGAACAACTCCTACAGAACACTGACTGAACGCTGGCAGAAGACCTCAGACTTCCCAAAAGGCAAGAAACTCCCCGTGTACCTTGGTAGGGCAAAAGAAAAATGAAAAAACAGAGAAAAAGAATAGGGATGGGACCTGCACCTCTGGGAGGGAGCTGTGAAGGAGGGAAAGTTTCCACACACTAGGAAGCCCCTTCACTGGCGGAGACGGGGGGGGGGCGGAGGGGGAGCTTCAGAACCACAGAGGAGAGTGCAGCAACAGGGGTGCAGAGGGCAAAGCAGAGAGATTCCCGCACAGAGGATGGGTGCCGACCAGCACTCACCAGCCCAGGAGGCTTGTCTGCTCACCCACTAGGGTGGGTGGGGGCTAGAAGCTGAGGCTCAGGCTTCGGAGGTCGGATCCCAGGGAGAGGACTGGGGCTGGCTGCGTGAACACAGCCTGAAGGGGGCTAATGTGCCACAGCTAGCCAGGAGGGAGTCCGGGAAAAAGTCTGGACATGCCTAAGAGGCAAGAGACCATTGTTTCGAGGTGCACGAGGAGATGGGATTCAGAGCACCACCTAAACGAGCTCCAGCGATGGGCGTGAGCCGCAGCTATCCGTGCAGACACCAGAGACAGGCATGGGACGCTACGGCTGCTGCTGCAGCCACCAAGAAGCCTGTGTGCAAGCACAGGTCACTCTCCATACCTTCCCTCCCGGGAGCCTGTGCAACCCGCCATTGCCAGGGTCCCCTGATCGAGAGACAACTTCCCTGGAAGAACACACAACATGCCTCAGGCTGTTGCAATGTCATGCCGGCCTCGGCCGCTGCAGGCTCACCCCACATTACGTACCCCTCCCTCCCCCCGAGTGAGCCAGAGCCCCCTAATCAGCTGCTGCTTTAACCCCGTCCTGTCTGAGCGAAGAACAGACGCCCTCACGTGACCTACATGCAGAGGCGGGGCCAAATCCAAAGCTGAACCCCGGGAGCTGTGAGAACAAAGAAGAGAAAGGGAAATCTCTCCCAGCAGCCTCAGAAGCAGCAGATTAAATCTGCACAATCAGGGCTTCCCTGGTGGCACAGTGGTTGAGAGTCTGCCTGCCGATGCAAGGGACACCGGTTCGTGCCCCGGTCTGGGAAGATTCCACATGCCGCGGAGCCGCTGGGCCCGTGAGCCATGGCCGCTGAGCCTGCGCGTCTGGAGCCTGTGCTCCACAACAGGAGAGGCCACAACAGTGAGAGGCCCGTGTACCGCAAAAAAAAAAAAAAAATAATCTGCACAATCAAATTGATGTTCCCTGCATCACTGGAATACCTGAATAGACAACAAATTATTCCAAAACTGAGACGGTGGACTTTGGGAGCACTGTACTTCTGAGCCATGTGGCTGACAGGGTCTTGGTGCTCCAGCCAGGTGTCAGGCCTGTGCCACTGAGGTGGGAGAGCCAAGTTCAGGACATTGGTCCACCAGAGACATCCCAGCTCCACATAATATCAAATGGCGAAAGCTCTCCCACAGATCTCCATCTCAACACTAAGAGCCAGCTCCACTCAACAACCAGCAAGCTACAGTGCTGGACACCCTATGCCAAACAACAAGCAAGACAGGAACACAAAACCACCCATTAGCAGAGAAGCTGCCTAAAATCGAAATAAGGTCACAGGCACCCCAAAACACACCACTGGACGCAGTCCTGCCCACCAGAAAGACAAGATCCAGCCTCATCCACCACAACACAGGCACCAGTCCCCTCCACCAGGAAGCCTACACAACCGACAAAACCAACCTTAGGCACTGAGGGAAGACACCATAAACAACAGGAACTATGAACCAGCAGCCTGCGAAAGGAGACCCCGAACACAGTAAGTTAACCAAAATGAGAAGACAGAGAAGCACACAGCAGATGAAGGAGCAAGTTAAAAACCCATCAGACCAAACAAATGCAGAGGAAATAGGCAGTCCACCTGAAAATTCAGAACAATGATAGTAAAGATGATCAAAAATCTTGGAAATAGAATGGAGAAAATACAAGAAACATTTAAGAAGGACCTAGAAGAACTAAAGAGCAAACAATGATGAATAACACAATAAATGAAATTTAAAATTCTCTAGAAGGAATCAATAGCAG